ACCAGGTATTATATTGAATCACTCTCAATACAAGATGACTCAAATATGAGAGAGGTAAGGGGATAGGAGCCCCTAGAAAGAGCTAATAATATAATAAAGTGTCAAATCTGCCCTTCATTACAGCCAGGACTCAGTGTGGAGAGTCGAATATTCAAGGCTGGCACCCATACCAGCTATAAACCGCAAGCAAAAAGAATGTCTACTATTTTTAGTCCTGTCAGGACTAAGCATCAATTTCAGTTTGGTTTGGTTTGCTTTATTTTACTCTGTTGTTTTTCTCTCGTTACTCTTGAAAGTCATTCCCAGTCTTTACTCTCATGACCCACATTAAAATTACCACATGCTCACTTTTAGCACTACAAACATGAGTGAGGTAAGTCTAGTGACATGCATGTGGTTAGACTTAACTCATCCCCTTCAGAAGGTAGAGGCACAATCCATGTTTTCTGGACAGTTCTTTTCAGAAGTGGATCATAAAAATAAAAAAGTGAACATGCTGTATTATATTCCACATGAAAATTTTTATGAAGCATTAAAAGATCCCCTAAAGCTTACTGCACATGTATTACATATAAGAAACCCTAACAATATAAAATTAACTTCCATGGTAGCCAGACTTCAGGCAATACTGCATCAAAACTAGAGAAAACATGTTTTTATTTTTAAGTCTCATAAAACTTAAATGCATTACAGAGACATGACTGAACAAAGCATGCATAGTTAATCCTACTCAATTTAACATCTTTTATCCACAAGTTACTTCTCTTAGTTTACCAGAAGTATTTAAGTATTTCCCAATAAGATTACAGTTGCGTTTTACTAGGTTTTTTCCACCACTCTCCTGCAGTTTGCACAGACCACTGCCAGCATTTTGAAAGAGTCCATGAACTCCATGAAGGAGTCCATGAACTGCATGAAATCAAATGATCTTGTACCCAAGTATCATGGTTGTAATGGCTGAAGCAAACCAGATGCAATACTGTTGCTCATCAATAGCACAGAGACAGCTCATGGACCACGGAATACTTTCAAAGAGCTGTGATATTAAAATTAAATTCAAATTTCAGGTGAAATTCCAGCAGGAATAAATCTCCTAGTGAAGAACCACACTCCAGATAACACTCCAGCTGCCAACAAACTGCCATCAAAAGCACAGCCTTCAAAAGCAGTGACAAATAATGGATGAACTTCAGAGATGTACAATCAAAGGAGGTGAGTGCTCTTTAGTGAAAAGCTAATGTGGCAAGGCATAAAACAACATTTGTAACACTTCACTCCAGCAGTTATCTGCTCAAGATAATGGAGTCAAAAGAACTGCTAGCAATTTGCAGAATAAGGACGCTGGGCCCAATCTCTCCCATTCATTTCAGTGGGAGCCAAATTATGGGCTTATCCAATAATTCATATAAATCACTCTCAAAAATGCCAAATAACTTCCTGAGTAGTAGGTATGGGATTTTCTTCCATGAGAGGACACAATTACCACTTAGGGCAAAAGGAGAAAGCACAGATCCTACTACAGGAGGCATTTTTACTCCACCACATGCACCACAAACATCACACCAAGAGTTTGATTTTCCATAAAACAAGGAACTCCTGTTCCCTGCTTAAAACCCAAAACTGCTAGAGTGTTTGTACTAGATAGTAAAATGGCAATTTAATTTTGGTTTTACTCCTGTTTAATCACTCAGGCCACACTTCTATGTTTTACTTACTCAGCAGAAGTCATGCCCAGTTTCAGATCTGCTACTCTAGTCAAGGCCTTGCAGCATATTTATTTTTCTCAGCAGACCTATTTAGGTGTATTTTATTCACAAAAACACACACATCCTCCTGTAAAGTCACATTTTACTGCCTGTCTATAAAAACTTAATGCCCTGCAAAGGTATTTCTCAAATTTTAAAGAGTTTTGAAGCAATCTGTCTGAGCAACATTCTTCCAAATATTTATAAGTTTTTCTAAGCACATATTTTAGTATGCTGTGCTGGAACAAAAATTGTCTTGTTTCACATGTTAGCACTTGTTAGCCCCTTGACTAATATAAAACCTTCAAGATCTTTGCTGGTTGTGATTGGCTTGTTTAATAAAATGACACACAGCTACAACATATTTGCAGAATGATACCACAGCTCTATTGACTTGGCTTGTGCCCTTGGTCTTGGCTAGCACGAAATTCCTCTGAGCAAGCTTTTCACAACTCTCCTCTGTTTTCCCTCTGATCAGTTGTTATGGATTACTGGCAGCAGTTAACAGAAATACAAGACAATCAGTCATGGATTTAAAAGGACACTTCCTTTCAAATACACCAGAAAGAGCAATAATTAGTTTTCTGGACTAAATGCATCCAAATATCTGCTAAACACATACAGTTACAGCAAGGTATTTCTGTATTGTTATCAGAATAGTCATTGACTCACCATGACTTTCAGTGCAGTGCAGTTCAGTTACAGATGTTCATTATTGTCATCACTATAGAGGAACATACTACATATGGAAACATATGACAGCCATTAGGGTCAGAAGAGACCTTTAGGCCTCCGAGGTTGGCCTCTGGTACAGCACAGGCCACCATACCACACAGCAAGATGCTGTGTGTTGAGCTCAAAAACAACTGTCTAAAAAGACATCTCAATGAGAAGACAAAGAGATGAAAATGATCCTCCATCTTCACTCCTTCCATTTGTAGTCTGTGCCAAGTGTTACTCATCCCCACTCCTGATAATTTGTGCTTTTCTTTTTCCATTCTAATTTGTCTGGCTACAAATTCCAACCATTAGTTCTTGCAATAACTTTTTGCACTAAACTGAGTCCACCATTTTTTCCATATGAAAATGCAACTTTTGTAAACGAGCTCTTAACTTCTAAGTCTCCAAGACTGTTGACAGACAGTTCTGCCAAAGCTTGCTAGACTTATTTAAGGTATCACCACTTGCCTCTCCGCTGCCTTCCCAGAGAACTTTCAAGAGAAAGTGCCCATACCAACCTGGTCCCAGCCATAATCTATCTTGTTTAGTTTAAGTTGCAAATGATAACCAATCTGAAGGAAAATAAACAAATTTGTGCTGGAAGACACTTGCTCCCCTTTTGTCAACTCATCCTGATGGATGACATTCATCACCCCTTTTCAACACCCCCACCATCTCTAACTTTCCACTCAGTGTGTTTTGCAAATCCCCTTGGGCTGCCCTTCCAGTTCATTTACACTCTTTTAAACACAACAGAACCACATCTGCACCTACTGCCTAACAATTCACCCAGTGCCACATACCAAGATAAAGCACACCTGGTTCTTACAAATGACTTGATCCTCATTTGGATATGCAAGACATTTAACCAAATTAGCCTAACAGTACCATGAAATGACCTCTTAATGAGTTGCAAGTCTTCATTAATCCCTAAATAAATCCTTAAATTATAATAAATTCTTTCCACCATATGATTTCCTTTTCCTGCTGAACAATCTGTGTTGTTACTACAAGCTGAACTTTGTATTGGGCTGTCTTAAAAGAATATATTTTTGTTGAATGGTCCAACTGTGTCAAGTAACACATAGAACTGTCCTTTCTCCATCCTTTCCCATTCCATTAAGGTTTATGCCATCACAAGATGTAGTAATACTGTTTTTAAATTTACCTTCAAAAAATGCTTTAAGTACAAGTCTATCACAGACACAGCTGTAATCCCACCAGAAACACACATATTCAATATTTCACTGACCACTACTGAGACCTGCCAGCCAGATGATTTTTAAGGAGCACATTACTGATACTGCAAAGCATCAATTTTACTTGTCTTTGTCTATCTTTTGATATTAACAAATAATAGAAATAAAGAGAACAGTCCAAACTGTCATTGGACAGAATGTATAAATCTTCCACCATCCTGGAAAAAATCACAAGATCCTTCTAAATTATTTTAGACAGTAATTTGCTTAATCACGATCAAACATTCTCATCACATCACTAAGCATGGTGTTATCATGACGGCTCAGTTGCTGCAGCAGTGGATGAACTTTGGTGTCTCGTTATTTACTAAGCCTATTATTCCTAGCACTGCTCTGCTGTCCTCCAGCTTGTAACTGTCTTCATAAAATACTTGGAGGATACAGTATACAAGTTAGAAACAGTCACGCTGGAACAGCAGTCCACTAACTGTGTTGTCCATCACTAGACTGCTGTGTCCTCACTGCTCCATCTGTGGTGGTGACCAGCAGGCAGGCTAGAGCACTGTGATGACCACATACACCATGCCTCTACTGGAACTGTACAAAGCTGAGGGGTGAACAGGATTTTTAGGCAAATCTAAAAATCTTGGAAAAAAACCCCCAAAACAAACAATAAACCAATCTTAGTTAGTATAGGTGCAGTAAGTTAATTCTGCCTTTTCCCTCAGGATTGCCAAGGACCTGTCCACCTTTCCAGGTGCACAGGACGCCACAAGGGTAGAACAGTTAGAGAGTTGACTGGTAGAACCGTTAGTCTTAAAAATATCTCATTGCAAGACCAAGCTGAAGTGTGGCTACGACTAACTCGGAGCTATGGAGCCCTAGATCAAAACCTGCAGCAGGCAGGGAAGAGACAATGTTAAGCCTATAGTGAACATACAGATATGAACCACAGCCCTTAAGAGACCAGAAGTCATGAGGAGAAAACAGAATCAGGCCATGACAGTGAAAACTACCTCTCCCTATCTAGCAACATGTCTGCTGGTATCAAGGGGAAATTACTAGCTCCACAGGCACAGCTAGCTCTCCTTCTGAGGAGCTGCTAAATAAAAAAAGTGGGAGAGAACAGTGAACAGTAAAAACAATAATGGTTTAAATCAGCCCCCTCGGCTAAGACCGCTCAACTCTAACATCATCCACTTACAGGGTTTTGTAATTAAACAAAGTAAAAGCCCAAGGTAGTTTGCCTGCATTACCCAGAGGATGGAAGACACTAGGAAAGAATTTTTGTTCTCGTTACCGCAGCAGACAAAGTGAATGGAAAGTAAACTTTTACCTCTTTTTCTATTTTGAGCAGCTTCTTTACTGCCACCTCCTTGTCCTGAGAAATCCATCGGGCTCGGTAGACACTCCCGAAACTCCCTCCACCGCAGTTCTCAAAAAACTGCAAGTCATCAAATTTAATTTGCACAAATGAAGCACTGGTAGACGACATCTCATAATGACAAAATATCCCACAGCAAAACCTGTGAAAAGAAAAGCTTTCATTAACACACATTCTCCAAGGATTTACGGACCTTCTTACTCATGCCCAGACACCCCAAAATCAGAATCACAAGCACGCTACAAGTAAAATCCACAGGGCACAGGAGGAAAACAATCTGGGAACTCGCACTCCAACAGGCTGTGCAAACGTTTGCATAATTTGCACAAGCTATTAGGAGCAGCTGGGAGACAAAAACGACTAAAAGTATTCCTCAGAGGGATACTGACGTTTCCCGAACACCTTGAAAGTGGCTCTGCGAGAGGCAGGCAGGTCGCTGCCTTGCCCGTCGCAAGCGGAGCGCGCCGACAGACAGGAAGCGTGCTCCGGGCTCGGAGCTTGCCTAGCAGCTCAGGCACGCCAGGCACGCCGCGCTCCCGCCGCAGTGTCCAGGGATGAGGCACTCGCCGCCCCGGCCGCGCAGGCGGCGCTCCGGCAGCCGAGCGGTGGCACCGCGACGCACCGCGACGCACCGCGACACACCGCGACACACCGCGACACACCGCGCACCCGGGGCGAGGCCGGAGAGCTTCGCACAGGGACGTGGAAAAACCTGGCCGTGGTAAATCTCTCTTCCCGAGTGACTCAGTTCTGTTTGCGTGTTGTAACAAAGCGCAAGTACGAGGTAATTGATCTGTATTACAATATGTGAAATTCTGCAGCCCGTGCCAAGACTGGTGTCGGCAGTTTCAAGAGAGGATCCCAAGCCTGCCGACGGGAACAGAACGTCCCTCTCCGAGATTTCACGGTGATAAAGCTCATGGCTGTAGAGAATTTCAAGAAATATTATCACCTAAATGCATGAAGAATGACTAATTCTACGTTTCCTTTTTTAATGATGTAAGATCAGAAAGCTCAAGTCTTTAGTGAGACTGCAGGACATGGCATCCTCTAGAACCATCTGCAAGCCTGCCATGGGATCATTTCAGATGTATTTCAGACAAAGTAGTTTTAATTACCACCAAAAGTTACTATACCTGCAATTAAAGAAAGTAAATTTATCAGCATAAAATGAGAAATGGGTTTGAATGAAACAAGCCAAAAAAGAACCCGAGATATTGGGTTACTGGTGAAAACTACACGCCCAGTTTCAATGGTAAATGAAAGTACCAAAACATACTATGTCTTATTGGAGCTTCCATTCTATAGAGCTTTTTGAGATGGAATCCACACATTATGTGTTGTCCAGAGCTGGGAAATGCACCTGTAATACACCCAGTACTACTGACAGCCAAAACCCCTTTATGCCAGTCCCTTCTGTAAGAAACTCAAAGACATTATCTGCCCCCTGTCCTTCCTTATTGTGCAGCTAATCTGATTAAAACTGAGACATCATCTGACCATGAATTTCTGGCACTATTTGGTTGCAGCTATTCTCCAAATGAGAGAAGATACTAACACTTTTCAACATATAGCATAAGATAACATCAAGCCTTTCCTGAAACTGCCTGCTTAATTTCATAACTCTTGACCACCCATAAAGGTAAAGGCAAACGCTGACCAGACCATGACAACTTGACTATGTTTACAAGAAGGCATTTTAGGAAGGGGCGGATTTCAAGCCTTTCATTGACGGCCGGCCTGCAGAGCTCTCGGGGAGGGAACATGAATGCTCTCTCCCCAGCACTGTGAGTCAGAGTAGGGGTTACCAGTGGGATATGAAATAAAGTTCATTCTTCCAGTGCTCTGCAGCCCCTTCCCTGATACAAGTGCCCAAAGTCTCCTGGTGACCTTCTGTTCTTGTTTTAACCTTGTCGCTGATGTAAGATTTCCTGCCATCCGAGAGTCATCTTTTGCACCATCCTGCATACATTTTCTTCAGAGAAAGCTTAAAGGAAAAGAAATTGGTCACTCCTACAAACTAAGAGAGTAGTGAAGCCAGTTTCAACATTTTGCTCTCTACCAGTGCTGCTTAATTAGCAGATCTTCAGAAACAAAAGCTCATTTGCTCTGTTTACTCTGGCAGTTACCCCAAGTTAATGCTGCGTACATGGCGTCTCAAGCATATGTGACACTTTATAGACAAATAAAAAAGGTCAGCTTCCCAAACCAGAGACCTCACAATTTAAGGCCACAGCCCTGCATATATTTATGCACATGGGTAATTACGCTTGAATGAACAATATCTTTACTGACAATAAAATTAGTTAGAAGAGTGATGTTACTCATAGGCAAAAGCATATGCACCATAATTTAACTGGACCATAAATTTAACAGGGAAGTGGAAACAGCTGATAACAGATGGCTGCATTTGGGATGGCAGAAGGAACAGAAAACCAACTGAAAAATACATCACAGGAAGCAAGTATTTCTGGCCTATCTGAATTCAATAGCTCTGAAGAGCTGTCAAATTATTTAACATTACTGTTCACCTAGAAGAACCAAATTACCCATACAAACCAGTAAATTATTTGATTTCTGGAAGTTACACCAGCACAGAAAAATATGCACACCAGACACTTGAGACAACAAACACAAGTGAGAACTTTTCTGATGGGTCCTCCTTAGTGCTTCAGATTTTACCTAAACATTAATGCACTCGCAATGCTCTGCCCGGCACACAAGCATTTGCAGAAGCTACTGTTCACCCTTTAAACACCTCCCCAATTTCAAATTTACCTACAACATCAACCAGTGCAGATCACAAAATAAATTAAGTTGGAAAAGATCTCTGAGATCATCGAGTCCAACCTACGCAACCTATGACCAAACACCACCTTGTCAACGAGACCATGGCACTGAGTGCCACATCCAGTTCTTTCCTTAAACATCTCCAGGGACAGTGACTCCACCACCCTGGGCAGCCCATTCCAGTATCTAGTCACCCCTTCTGTGAAGAAAATCTTTCCTAATGTCCAATCTAAACCTACCCCAGTGCAGCTAAAGACTATGTCTTCTTGTTCTATTGCTAGTTGCCTGGGAGAAGAGGCTGACTTCCACCTGGTTGCAACCTCCTTTCAAGCAGTGGTAGAGATGCTATAGGCACCAGCATACAATAAATTATTATTATTTAAAGAATGATTCATTGGTTTGTATCAGGTTCTTCCAGATGCTTTTTTCCAGAGAAAGCAGAGGAGACTTATAAGGGACACTCTTTATTTGGAGATCTGTAATTAACAACAGCCTAAGTTCATTTTCTCCTTCTAGATGAAACAACAGACCTGTTTAAACATTACTCCACGTTTTCAGATGCAAGCTAGTTAATCCTCAATTAGAGAGATCAATCTCTTTGTTATGTTTAAGAAAACAACTGTTTAGAGTAACAACTGCACGTGATAAATCTGCACAGTTATTAACTTGTCATCCTTCTTGAACAATCAGAGTTTATACCACTGGTTCAGAGGAAAAAAATAAATCAGCTATTTCAGTTAACTCCACAGTCTTACATTTGCATCTGAAACAAGCACAGTATTCCAACAACGTGTGGCACTTCTTCACATCTTTCACTTCGGCAGCCAGGAGAGCAGTCCTCTGCAGCACTGGGGGCCAGGGTGACAGCAACTCTCCCATACACAGCATAAGGAGGGTTTGGCACCCACACTGTCCTTCCACACTCACATGGTCTCAAGTGCTTAGCCACCATCCTTGCGCAGCCAGGGGAACGTTACATTGACTGACTGTGTTGCTTGTTCTTGACTAAATGAAAACATGACAGTTCAGAAACAGTGAATGGAAGGTGCTACAGGAAACAACTCAACTGCTGGTTATTTCAGTTATTCCTATAGGATCTTCCTGGAGGAAAAAGCACTTGCTCCTTTTTCTGTTTTATTTCTAATGGTTAACACGAGCTTGTGATCTTGCAGCAACATCTCCATCTTCTCCTGGGTCTTTCTTTTCCCTCATGGTAACTTACTGAGCATGCTGTTAGAAGCTGTTCATTTCATACCAAAAAGTAAAATATCTGAGCTGCCTTTGGCAGCATTTAACATTTCAAGTAATCATTTAACATTATTTAACGTTAGTTTTTAACATGTTAGTTCCATTACACAGAGTCACTTTGCAGCAAGCCATTATGTCACCACAAGCTCAGTTCAGTACACTAAAAAACTGTAGGTCTGCCATCTGCCATCACTGGCTTCTTGTGATTACAGTAGTTTAAGGGATTAACCCATATGGGGGCCTGACCCTGCTGAGGTTCCACACTTTCTGCTCCACCCGGGCCTCCACAAAATGAGGGAACCCCTAAGCACCTAGGCAGACAGGTTGCACACCAACCCTCCTGAAGGCTGCCCTGCATCTTACCACAGTGACACTGGAAGAACTTGTACCTCACAGCTCCCTACAAACAGGCTGCAACTAGAGGAAGTGCTGCCATGACCAACACTCTGCTTTATTCCACATACAAACCAGAAGACCCTTCTATTTGCCATTCAGCTGCTGCTCCCAGAGTATAGAAAACTTCTGCTTGAGGGACTTACAAGCTAGAGGCAGGAGGCAGGAAAGAATTCAGCACAAATTGCACAGTAACTGCAACTCATATTTTGCTTGGTGCGTGGCTGCGGAACTGAAAATTGCATCCCTCATCTTGCACGTGCACCTGACGCTACTCAAGCATTCAATTACTTCAGGAACACCCTTTGTAATTTATTAAGGGTCACAACCACACCACTCGCTGCCCTCACTTCACTGTGTGGTTCCACGAAGCAGGATTCAGTGCTTCTTTCAGGAAGGCACACTGCCAACATATTGCCAATAAAGTAGTAGCACACCACACTTGTGCTATCTTAAAATACACAGCCGAATGTGCCAAGTTTCCTTATTTGGCAAAACAGCCCATTTGCTTTCAGTATCTTTGACCATCCATTTTTAGACCCAAATCATCCTCTGTATCCAGCATGGCCTACAGTCCTTGAACATATCAACGTGGATTTTTTCAGCAGCATATTTATTTAGTCTTTTTAAAAATATGTATTTAAAAAAACCCCACAAACAAAAAAGTCCAAAAACCCCTCCACCCTCAAACACCAAAACATGGTTAGCCACTGTCTTGTCCAAATAGAAAACAGAAAAGGGGTTACAGTGATATCAAGCTACAAGAGATATTGCAGAAAGTAGTTTTTAGAAATAAAAAACCCCTTAATCATAACTTGAACTGCTGATGGATAAGACGCAAACAAACTCCAAGTACAACTCCAAATTAAACATATTCTAATCTTCTAATCTCCCAAGAAGTTAAAATAAAGTCAATAGCCCCTACAACTCCTAAACTTTCTTAATCAGACTGAGCAGCAGCCCTGCAGATGGTGAGACTGGAGGCATGGCTCTGCCTACCTTAGTTACGGAAGCAACAACATTTGAGCCTGTCCTTTGTCAGAACCTAAGAATTGTGCATAACTTCCATTAATAACATTCCTAATTTTAATTTAATTTATATAAGCACTGCTACAGAAAAAGGGCTCAACTCAGCCTAAACAGTTTGAGTACTTCGGGAAAAGAATTCAACCCAAGCTGTGTCAATGGCAGAGGCTGAAGGGTTTAAAGGCTTTGCTTTAAATAGAAAACATTTTATCTCAGAAAAACCCTAAACTGCTCACTTCACTTACACTATACCTTGTAAGTGATGCCTGACAGGAGTACACATGCATGCAAGAAAGACAAGGCAGCTAAACCTTCATCCAGGCCCATAGCAAAGCTCAGTCCTGGCACAGGCCAGACTGCAGGATCCGGGCCTTAGTTTTGTCAGCCTTCCCCTCCGTCAGTGAGCCAGGCTCTCCAGGGTTACCATTATTCACACAATGCCACCAGTATGCAAAGCACATTACTGATAGATAAAACAAGTAAGCTTCTAAGGACTTACAATTTAAGGACAAAGTCCTGAAAACATCTAACTGCATGCCTCCAGCGGAAAGCTATGATGCTTTCAGGCAGTGACCCAGTTAATCCAGTGCTTTCAAATTATTTCTGCTTCTGGAACTTAGAAAAAGTAATGATCCATGGCTTTCCCGATGGCTCTGTCGCTAAAACTCCCAGCAGAGCATGCTGGATACAGGGGTAATGGATGGCTCACACACACGCGTGCTTAATAAAAGGGCATACTGCTAGAAACGAGCTAACTTGAGCCAACACAGCAAAAACAAAGATCGCCAGTTTACTTAAAAAATGAAGGAGAAAAGGAAAAAAACGGAGGGAATGAAAGACACACCTCAAAGCCCAACCCGGGGGATTTCATGCCCAAAATAACAGCAAAACGCAGCAGGTGCCCGTGAAGTGAACACGTCTGAAACGCGGTCTGAGCGGCGCAGGGGTGGCCGAGGGCAGCAGCCCCTGGCGGGACGCCGGCTGCTCGTGTCCCGCTGCTCGTGTCCCGCTGCCCGCCGCCACGGACGGCCGCCGCTGGCAGCACCTCTCGCGGCCGGGCCGTCCCGCCTGCCCATCCGGGCGCTCCCGGCTCGGCCCGTCTCCCGACCCCCGTCCCGCCGCGCGTGGGCGCCGCTGCCTTCGCGGGGTTTGTCAGGGGCGGCGGGACGGGGGCGACGCAAGGTCAGGCCGCGCCACCTCCCTCCCCAGGGCTTCCCGAGTTGCTTCGGCTCGGCCCGTCTCCCGACCCCCGTCCCGCCGCGCGTGGGCGCCGCTGCCTTCGCGGGGTTTGTCAGGGGCGGCGGGACGGGGGCGACGCAAGGTCAGGCCGCGCCACCTCCCTCCCCAGGGCTTCCCGAGTTGCTTCAGCACGGGGAACGTCCAACCCGGAGGGGACACCCCTGGCACGGCACGGCCCCGCCGGCTGCCCGTCGCCTCCCTCCGCCCGGCCGAACGCGCACCGACCACGCCGCCGCCCCCAAGCGGGGGGCGCCTCGCCGTCCTCACCTTTCCCGAGGGGCTCCGGGTTGGCGGGACCCGAGCGGCGCCGATCCCGGAGCCGCCGAGGGAGCTGCAACCGTCGCGACCGCGTCTCCCGCTCCGTCCCCCGCGCTTCCGGTTGGAGCCGGGAGCGGAGCCGCCGCCGCCCCCGCGCCGCCTCGCAGGGGCGCCACCCCGCGCCCCGCGCCGGGCCCCGCGGGGAGGCGCGGCCGCCCCGCGCGGGCGGTGCGGGCGGTGCGGTGCCCCGGCTGCAGGGGGCGCGGGGCCGGGGCAGGGCGGGCGGGGACGGCGCGGAGCGGCCTCACGGCAGCGCCTCCGCCCCGCGGGCCGGGGCTGCGGGTGTGGCGGGCGGGGGGCAGCGCGTGCCCCCCACCCTCGTCCACGACACTTCGGGTTACGGGGCGCTGAACGCTGTGGTGGGGCTGGCGTGAGGCGAGCAGGACGGAGCATCGGCTTCACGGAATTATAGAATCGCAGAATGTTCTGAATTGGAAGGGACCCACAAGGATCATCGAGCCCAACTCCTGGCCCTGCACAGGACCATCCCCAAGAGTCACACCATGTGCCTGAGAGTGCTATCCGAATTCTTCTTGAACTCTGTCAGGCTTGGTTCTGTGACCATTTCCCTTGGGAGCCTGTTCCAGTGCCCAACCAGCCTCTGGATGAAGAAACCTTTTTCTAATATCCAACCTAAACCTTTCCTGACACAACTTCAGGCCATACTCTGGGGTCCTGTCACTGGTCACCACAGAGAAGAGATCAGTGTCTACCTCTCCTCTTCCCCTCACAAGGAAGTTGTAACTGCAATGAAGTCTCCCCTCAGTCTCCTCCAGACTGAACAGACCAAGTGCCCTCAGCCACTCCTAATACACCTTCCCCTCAGGGCCCTTCGCGATCCTCGTTGCCCTCCTTTGGACACTCTCTAATAGCTTTATATCTTTTTTATCTTGTGGTGCCCAACACTGCCCACGATATTCAAGGAGAGGCCACCCCAGTGCAGAGCAGAGCAGAGCAGGACAATCCCCACCCTTGACCAGCTGGCAGTGCTTTGCCTGATGCCCCCCAGGACACAGTTGGCCCTCCTGGCTTGGGCTGACCAGGGCAGATGGCCTCTGGCTGAGTGGTGGTCTACTTGTTGGTCAGCCATGCCAAACTTGGGAAAAGCCTCTGGATCAAGCAGGGCTGTTTGCTCAGGCGTTTCCAGTTGACAAGTGCAGCCCTGCAGACTCCCTCCCTGGAGGGAGTCCAGGCATGGGGCTGCACTGCTGCAGCCACAGCTTTGAAAGCACAAGTTCCTTCATCCAGGGCTCCTGCTTCAGTGACAGGCAGTATGGCTAAATTGTGTACCAAAATGACCAGAAGGTGGTAACTTTAAAAAAACCCCTGCTTCACTGTTCTTGTGCCACTGGAGTTGGGATGGTGTTTCCACAAGATGCAGCATCTTTAAATTCTGGGATTGCCAAGCTGCTGTGGCTGCAGGTCTGGTGGTGCCCAGGAGTAGGAAGGGAGCAGGCTGTGCTCCTACAGGCAGTCCTCCTTTTAGGAATGTGGAATAAGAGGAGGATTTGACTGGCGATTATAACCCTCCCATTCCTTGTCCATATTCCCCAGCTGCCCTCAGGACGACCACCCCAGTTCACAAATGAAACAGAGAGACAACCCACCTCCACCCTCTGAAGTCACGTGAATCCTTTCTTAGCCAAATGGTACTGAAGTACTCTGCCATTGCAGAAAACTTTTTGCAAATTGAAAATAGGCTGTCATGCTTAAAGGAAGTGACTCAAAAGACTTGGGGGGCAAACAATTTTTCTACTGAGGCAAGCACATCACATGGCTGTGACAGCACATTTTCTGTATCAGTATCGTGCAAGATTCAATGCCTATCGCCACTTTACTCTGCGCTCCCCAGGTCATCTACACGTGACTGTACACTATGATCTTCCATTCACTGGAGAATCACAGCTCCTTGCTATCTCTCATATTTGACTATTGTTACATGCATGTGTAGATCTGCCATATAAAACCAGCTGTGTAGCACAGTGATTCACAAAGAGGTGCACAGCGTCACACTGAATCATATACATTAATTGTACATCTCAAAGATGTATGGTATCAGGGTGAATCATGGAAGAACACTTTACTGATTAATTAAATACAATAATTGAATGAACATCAGAGGCATTCCTCCAAGGTGTGATAGTTTGGTACAAGAGAGGGTAAAAACCAGTCAAAACAGTGGAGCGTAAGCACAAGTATACATTTCTGTACTTAAGTATACATTTCACTGAACTGTAATAACTTAATAGGAGTAAAGTTCAGCAACATCTTAAGCACTCAGTGCAACAAGTACATGAAGATGGTAAGAAAGTCAAAAAGTGGGCACTGGTGACCCCTGTTTTGCCCATCTGATAGGTTCAGTATTCTGGCTTCCCCTGGTTACAAAAGTTTCAGGCCCTTCTTGTCTGATCTGAGAGTGCTTGTGCTTTATTATGAACTGATATGCTGGTGAGCCTGGAGAAGTGTCCAGTCAAAGGTGTCACATTTTAAAAGAACACACAAATATCAAACACAAGTCACATGAAACTCATGCTCTGGAGAAGAAGTGCCACATACTTAGTCTCTTAAATGCTGTGACTTAAGTGCTTATCCTTCTTGTCTGAGGCAAATGCCAATTAGTCAAATGATTTAAAAATCTATTTGAATGTTAAATCACTTGATTCATAGGCATTTTCTTCAGAGACTTGAACACTTGCATTCAGAGGTCTCTTGCCCAGCATGCTTGGTCCAGGTATTTTGTCCACAGCTATGTATCTGCAGAGCTGGGATTTATCATGTGTGACTTTAGGCCCTGGTTGCAGAAAGAAAAACTATTCCAGTAGCACATGAGAAATGAGGGGGTGGTTAATATTTCCTACTTCAAGAGTAGGAGTGCAGAGTCTGCACCAGGCACTGCGTTAACATGCCACTTGTTTAAAACATGTAACTGCACCTGCTCTGTTAGAGGACAAGTGAGAGAAAGCAAAGGAGCCTGCACGAGAAGTGTCCAAGCCCAGTGCTACACTATTGTGAAGATGGAATTATTACAAAAAGGTGTGCATTTTGGAGCATGTACTCTTTCTGCCTTCTGGCTAGTTAGTCTGCATATTTTCAAGAAACAACCAGGAACCAGCATAATCAGAGTTTCTTAAGTGGTCATAATAAGATACAAAACAGTGAGCCAACACAGAGTATGTTATGCTTTCCCTCCTTTTTGAGGCAGCAAATTCAAGCTGAGAAACTCAAAAGTTACCTCTGGATTGCTCAATCCTCATCTCAGACTTCTTCAATTTATAAGGAACAGGCAGAAAAAGAAAATATTTAAAAGTTAACAAGCTAACAAGCTAAGTTATTGTAAAGCCACAACAACTGGCAAAGGATAAAGGCAGCTATAGCAACTTTTAACTCAGTTTTAGACTTGAAAGGATTCATCTGAATTGTCTCTTTACATCTCATCACAGGGTGTGCAATGTTGTCTCACCACCTTTCACCATGGAAAATACAGTTTCATGCATGCGTCCAGGAGGTTTAAATCATCCTGCCTGCCAAAAGCAGCAGGCACACCCCTCCCCTGCCTGTCGAGCCCTGTTCCCGCTGCCCACACCTTCTGCCAGCACGGTGTTTGCACGGCTGCACAGGGAGCTGGGCTGTGGAGAAGCTACTTCAGGGAAAAGCAATCAGTTTTCACCCTGATCAGCATGCAGGTCATTGGGCAATTGCATGAAGACGCGTGCCAGTGCAAAGGCAGGAAAGGAGCAAAGGGCTAATATAAGCAGCTGAGAGAGGATGGAACCTGGAAGTGTTTTTTTAGCAGTAGTGCTGGTTTATGCCAGCTTAAACTGTACGTGAAACTCTAGACACAGATAATCTGGAGGTGGACACCTGCTCCGTATTTTTCAATTCTCCTTCAAGACTGTCTCAGAGTTCATCTCGGGCTTAGTACAGAGGTTTCTTTGAAGCACTGCCGTTTCTCTGGTTGCTATGGCTTGCTTCCATTTCTAGCTTAAAAATTGGCCAGGTGGCCATTGGCCAGGTGGAGGTCATGCCTGGGGTATACTGGGAAGGTTGTGCACACATTGCTGTAGAAGATGTAGCACTAGTGTATGCTAGTGGTAACGCAGCTAGTTCGAGCAGTATTAGCAGTAACAAGGTGGTGGCATTAATTTTATGCCATTTATTCAATCAGGTTTGTGACCTGGAAGAGGTAGATGAGTGGCTGGCATGAAAGCCCTCTCTATGTTATTTTTGCTTGCACTTTACTGACTGAAATTCATGCAGGTATGTCCACATAGGCTGCAATCCGCTTCTGCAATTACACCCCAAAACACAACTGGTGGGAGTGATTTCATAACTAAAAGACAATTTGCATGGTACTGATAGCCAAAATAAGCTGCCTTTTCTCTTTCTGAGAGATGGCAAGTGGAAAATCTAAGGAATTCTCTTTGGATTTGGCTCTGAGGCAATCCTGCCATTCCTGCTGTAAATTTACCCACAAACACCGGCCTGATGCTACATGCAGCCCCCATGCCTGCACATGCAGGCTGTGATTCTCATTTGCTTCATCTGCCCAGTGCTGTGGGAAATGGCTTCTTCTCAACTTTCATGGGAAATGAAGAAAGAGCTCGTACTAACCATCATACACCTCTTTGACTCCTCTTTGTTGCTGTTGTTTTCTTGTCTGTTTTTTTTTATTACAAAGAAAAATAAGGAATTTGTGAAACTGCCTATATGGAATATTTAATATAAAATAATAACTACGTTATTTAATATTAATTAATCATAAAATTGTTAAGTACATAATTTTAAAATATGGACTAGAATTATTTAATACAGACCTTCATGTGGCAGAGTATGCTTGTGTGCAGTAGGTGTATTGCATGTGGATCAAACACCTGCTTTGTGCACAGTGGTTTTCAGAACTGGCAGGCTACAGCTTGTACACTGTTTGCCTTTTGATCAGGCACGTGTGCAGTAAAAAGCACATATAACTTCAAAAATGTCAATATAACTAACAATAAGATAGCTATGAAATGGCAAAATATTAACAAGAAATCCAATTTTTGATTGTTTTACAAG